AGCTTTGGGGACAGGTTACCTAGTAACCACAGGATGATTAAGTTCTCTTCACAGAGACCTGTTCTCTTAATTGGACAAAAAGATTTAAAGAACACAGCTGGAAAGAAATGCAGAGATGGACTGTGGCCGTTATTAGGGGCCTAATACCTGCAGTTCCAGCAGCCCTAGCCAACCGGTCACAATATGAGTGCATCTTTTATTAGTAACAAGAAGACAGCTATACTCCCTACAGAGTTACATTTTGAGCTTTTTTCATCTACAGGAAAACTTAAAGTGTGCAATTAAGCATATGAAAAAGTGCAGGAGCCAGCAGGTGGTATGGTGGTTAAAGTGACTGGATCCCACAGATCATGCAGTTTGAGTCCTGGACCCAGCAGCCTGAAAAGCATGGCAGGCACGTGTTCAAATATGCCCAAAATCCCAAGAGGAGAGTGGAAGAGAAGAGACTGAGACATGGCCAGCCCCCCTGGGGGTGATTTCTCACTTTTTCTCTCTCCATCTCTCCAGCTGGCACACATACCCTATAGCAAATTAAAGGGGAAAATAACATATGGTGAGAGATGGCTCCTCAGCACGATAGTAAAGTGCTGCTCAAGAGAAGCTGGATCCCACATGGTAACTGAGGTTTGAATCCCTGTTCTGGTCACTTGAAACCTCCAGTTACGTGCATGAGTATCCAGGACTGGTCAGGCTGGAGGACTGGAGAAAGGGGACCACTGTGTGACTTGTGGAGGGTGTTCATCTCTCTTACTCTCACATTCATGTGCACACACTCTATCGTAAGTACAGAAAAAAAAAAAGGCAATGAAAACTCTACATGGTTTTACGACCTGAAATGATCATTTGCAATAAGAGAGATTGTATTGGTGTTCAGGTTTCAGAGTTCTATTCCTTAACAGAACTCACACTGGTCATTTGGAGTCAGTTTATCCTGTAATTGTTTTCTTTTGCCTATCTGTAATACCAATAAGCATATCTTGCTTTTTAGAGAATTATGATCATTTTTCTGCTCTCCTTTTTAACAATTAGATTAGGAAAAATCAAGTTATAGGTTGACAGTGATGAAGATTTTTTGTTTTATCCATTAAAGACCTCTACATAATAGAAAAGTTTTTTCCTGTGCTCAAAAAAGAACTCAATATATATGTCATTAACTATAATTAGAGAAGCTCTATTTTGAAATCACTTTTTAAAGTGTTTTGACAAGCATTGCATCCTGCAATCCTCATATAAGATTTGTAAGTTAATATTGCCTCGGCCTGGCTGCTTTCCTTTCAAAGATGAGCCTAGAATTTTCTTAAAGCCCCCTCTAGCGACAAACAGAAATTAATCCATTATTTGATAAGGCTAATACCACCAAGTTCTAGAGTTCCATTTTTTGGCATAGGTATTAGTAAATCCGTAGCTATCATATTTTGATTAGAGAATGACTGAGAAGTAATTAATAGCCCAAATTCTTAAGCATTCTTCAGTTACCATAACCTAAAGAGATTTTGTTTTGCATGCATCTAAAGTCAATACAAAGTTTGCCCACACACCTTTTAATTCTATGTTATTCTGCTATAGTATGTATGACTTTTAAACACTTTTCTAAATTTCCTTCATTTTAGTCCTTCAGGCCCTTTAAGGATTAAAATATGTTCACAATAATGCAATGAATAAATATCTCGACCTTTTATTTCTTGTTGCTTTAGCTGAATTTATTAGATCATTTTCTTTTTTTTTTTTTTTTGAAGAGGTTTTTCGCTATAGGGCGCATGCACTCGCCAGAGAGAGACATAGAGACAGAAAGCGAGAAATCACCCCCCAGGGGGGATGGTCACGCCACCATCATGTATGACTTTTAAACACTTTTCTAAATTTCCTTCATTTTAGTCCTTCAGGCCCTTTAAGGATTAAAATATGTTCACAATAATGCAATGAATAAATATCTCGACCTTTTATTTCTTGTTGCTTTAGCTGAATTTATTAGATCATTTTCTTTTTTTTTTTTTTTTTGAAGAGGTTTTTCGCTATAGGGCGCATGCACTCGCCAGAGAGAGACATAGAGACAGAAAGCGAGAAATCACCCCCCAGGGGGGATGGTCACGCCACAATCCCTTCTCCTCCATTCTCCTCTTGGGATCTTGGGCACGCACACACACGCACCCGGCATGAGTTTTAAGCCACCGGGTCCAGGACGCGAACCGTGGTCGACTACGTGGGAGTCCAGGGACATAGCCATTACGCTAACTGCTGGTTCCCTATTAGATCATTTTCATTGGTGGTGCTAAGCATGTCCAAACAGACAAAGGTACATTCCAGAAATCCTCTGAATGATGAAACTAGGGGTCATCTATAAAAATGCAAATTATTATATAACAATAATAAAACATGTATAAAATTATAATATATAATGAATGATAAAATTATCACTGTATTGGACTGTATGTTATAATGTATAACAAACAGTTTATTTTATTTGTATCCTGTTTGTCAAAGTACTTAGAGCTCATCCAATAAGACAGGTCAAATTGAACAATACAAAAAGAGTAGAAAAATAAAAGTATTGTTTCCAGCAAAAGGAATTAAGAGATAAACAGAAAAATATAAATAATTATCATGGCTGAGCACACAACTTAGTTTTGAGCTTTCTGTCAGCTAAGACAAAAAGGGAAATGCAATAATTGATTTACACATACTAATTCATTAGGGGACACAAAATACAGATATGCAGGCTTCTAAATACCAATAATGAACACAGCATTGGAATAACTTCTGTGCAAAATGAAATTCATGTTTATGGCTTCAACAGAAGGTTTTTCAGGATGCCTCCTCTCCAAAGCCATTGCAGAGATGAATGATCTCCCAATGGAAGAGTGTGCTTGCAAGTTTACAAACAATAAACTCGTGCCAGCTGTATTCATCAGCCCGAGAGCAGGGATTGTCTCCTGGGAATAGCAACCAGACAGGACCTCCTTTCTTGTTTACATACATAGAGTAAAGGCAAAGGACAAATTAAATTGCATTTATGATAATATACAGACTGCAAGAGAAGTAGACCCTATTGTGCACACATTCTCAAAAAAAATTGGAACAAAGTACTCCAAAGAGAAATAATCAAGTGAGGACAGCTTCAGACAAAGACGGATACCAGGTAATGTTGTCTCCAGAATCCTTTCCCCTTCTGCTATCCTCTCCAATCATGAAGCCCCCTTCCTACTTCAAAGAAAAACCTGTTTTTCACCCTAAAATCTACTTTTATGAGGGGAGCTGGCATTACCTTTGGGTGAATCAAGTCACTGTGTTGCCTTTCCCAAGGGTGTTTGCCCTTTAAGTTTTAGTTCTAATTCAATTTAACAAATGCTTACTGGAGGCCCATTATACGCAAGGCATTTTCTAGTTGCTAATAAAAGGCTTCATGATCTTAGAAAGGGATTTCAAGCAATAATGAGTAGGTAGGAAAGAGTTTTTGTTTTCTGGGTAATACCTGATTCTCTGCCCTTATATCCTTCTAAATGACCTTTGGGGATAGATTTTTGGTTTTTATTCCCAGTGTTCGGAAGAATTATTTGTGTGTGTGTGTGTGTGTGTGTGTGTGTGTGTGTATAGATATATAGATAAGATAGATATAGATATAGATATTATTAACTATAATTGGCAAAGCTCAAAAATTGAGATTTTTTAAAAATGTGTCACACTTAACAGTCCTTGAATAAGATTTGTAGGTTAATATTGCCTCAGCATGGTCACACATACTTCCATATTCCTCACATTTTGTATCTAATTGTCTCCCTACCTGTGTCTTAGGAAACCAGAGGTTCAAGTGTTCCAGTTCCTGATTTCTTTTTCCTCATTATAGGGTTCCTTTACTCCCATAAGTCTGAATTTCCTGATACCCAGCTCTTCTGAAATAGGAGTCTTTAAAGAGAGAAAGCCAACACTTCTGGATATCTCCTTTTATTTGCCAGGTACTGTAAATATTAATCCTGTAACTATAAAATTAGTAACATCAATTGCATTTTACTAAGGAGGGATATAAGGCTTAAGTGAGGTTTAGAAGCTAATTCAAGACCAAGCTGGTAAGTCGCACAAAATTCACAATTAAATTCCACACATTACACCAGTAGTTTTCAACTGGGCTGTAGTTTTTGTCCTTCAAGGAACACTTGCCAACACCAGGAGGTATTTTTAGTGTCTTCACCAGGACTGGGGTGGGGGTCGCGGTTTACTACTAGCCCTGGTGAGCAGGGATCAGGCATGCTACTAAACATCTTGTAAGGACAGCCCTCCTCACAATAAAGTTATGCATTTAGCCCAAAAAGTTAACTGTGTGGTT